CTGGACTGACCTCTGCTGGCCAGACCATTAATCAGCCAAAAAAAAATTTTTTTTCCCTTTACTTGAGATAACAGGGTTAGAAAAGGGGACATTTACCCTAACTGTGTCTAGCTGGATTTATACAGTTCAACTTAAGAATATTAAGGCCTCCACGTCGTCTTGTGTCAAGCTTTGTGTTACGTTTGGCTGTCGGGCAGGCACCCATGGGCAGAGGAGATTAATGAGGTTTGGTGGCCACCCAGGCCAGACGCACCCCTGTCTGTTTCCTCCCATGCAGCCCAAGCTCTCTACACTACACTCAAAAGTACAAAACCAGTTGGGTTGGGGGCCTGTCAGAAGCTAGTCAAATGCCCACTACAAATATCTCCTGGTTCCCATCGAAAGCTAGAGATTCCCTACTCCAAGGTGGGCTCTTGTGCTCCAACTTAGCCATTACAGACAAATCTAGTGCAATGTATAGAAGCTGAATTTTAATATACTCTTGTGCTGCGATTCATAAAAAACTAAAATAACAGATATGTCCGTTTCTAATATTTTAGTTCTATTTATTCATTTTTAAAAATATCTGATGTGAGTACCTGCATTTATCTATGTGTACAATGTGCATTCCTGGTTCCTGGGAGGCCAGAAGAGGGCGCTGGGCCCCTTGGAGCTGGAGTTGTAGACACTTGTGAGCCTCCACATGGGTGCTGGGAACTGGACCTAGGACCTCTGCAAGAGCAGCAAACACTGAGCCGTCTCTCCACCCCTGATTTCTAACATTTTAAAATACAGTTCTGATTTTTTTTAAGTGCTTACTTTTAGCTGGGGAGATAGCTCAGTGGTAAACTGTTTGTTTAGCAGGTACAAAGTTCTAGATTCAATTCCCAGCAAACACAAAAACTTTTCACATTTTTGTTGTCGTTGCTGTGTGTTTATTGATTGATTTTTCGAGACGGGGTTTCTCTGTGTAGCTCTTGCTGTCCTTCAATTTGCTCTGTAGATGAGGCAGGCCTCAAATTCAGAGATCTGCCTGTCTCTGTGTCCAGAGTGCTGGAATTAGAGTTGTGTGGGTGCCACCACTGCCTGGCTGACTTTTAATATTTTCTAAGGGACAAAAATGATATAAACATACTTCCATCACACAGTTGCATTAAAACCGTGAAGCACAGGTTAAAATCTTGAAATCCCAGGCTATATTGTTTGTGTACCCCCTCCCCCACGCCATATCTGTAGAAGCACCAGTTTGGTTACATTGCCTTATTGGGCACAATTACTTCTTTAAAAAAAAACAAAAAACAACAACAAAAAAAAAAAACATTATTTTCTATGTGAGTGGATACAGTGCATGTATGTGAGTGTGTGTGTGTGCTACAGCCATGTGTAGTGGTCAGAGAACAACTTTACACAGTCGTTTCTCTCCTTCTACATATATGTAGGTTCGAGAAGTCAGATTCTGCTTACGTTTGTAAGGCAAGTGTTCTCATGCTGTGAACCACTTGCCTGATTTCTTTCTGCCCTTTAACTATTTATTTATTTATTGGTAGTGCTGAGGATATTTATTGGTAGTGCTGAGGATAGTAGGCCCAGGGCTTGGTGTGTCAGGCAAGCAGTCTCCTTGAGCCACATCTGCAGCCTGGCTCTTTTCTGAGACAGTCACTCCACTATGCAGCCCAGGCTCACTCTGAACTCTCAGTGTAAGCCAGGCTGGTGAAAGAAATTTTTTCACTTCCTTACAATCTTGAGGTCCCACTATCATTACGTGGTCTGCCAATGACCAAAACGTCCTTAAACAGCACATGACTAGACGGCACAGATACCCGCGTGTATAGACTCACGCGGCAGCTAATCTCCAGTGGCTAGCTGGGAGGTGGTGTGACTTCTCTGGCTCAGTCAGTCCTGTCCAGGAAAAGCTCTCAGCTCACCAGCTACAGGACAAGTTCCACTACGATAGAGACTAGAACCGCCAAAGACAAATCCGAAACAGACTGAGCCCACAGCTCCGACATCTCTCTCTGTTACGCCACTTTTGCACCTTTCACGTCTTTCTCCAGAAGGTGTTTTTAAAAGATAAAGCTTTTCACATGGGAAATGATTTACATACAAGGAAACTGACATGTAACTTGGCAGTTAGACACTACAATGCTATTATGTGGAAGAATACTGTGAGTCAATCTCTATTCCTCGACAAAATTCCTGAGGAAATCAATCTGAAAGAAAGAAATACTGATTTTGGTTCATGACTTTCAAGCTTTATTTTACTTTAAATTATGTGTGTATGCATGTGTACATGTGTGGGGGGCTATGCATGTGAGTGCCCACGGAAGCAGAAGGCATCAAATCCCCCTGGAGTCCCTGGAGTTGCAATCACAGGCGGTTGTGGTTGTGAGCTACCCAGTGTGGCTGAGAACTGGACTCACATCTGCTGAAGGAGTAGTCTGTGCTCTCACCCGCGGAATCGTCTCTCCAGCCCTGCTCACGTGAAGGTTTCAGTCCACGGTCCTTCGTCCTTTTGTGTTTGGGCCTGGAGTCTATCATGCCAGGGAGTCATGAAAGGACTTGCCCACCTCATGAGACCTGGGAGGCAGGGGTTGAGGAGTGGCTGCACCAAAGGTCCTAATTCTCTGTGACCTCTTTCCACCATCCAACAGTGCCAATGAGACAGTGATCAAGCCTTTAACATGTAAAGACTTTGGGACAATTTAAGATCCAAAATCATGGGGCTGGAGAGATGGCTCAGCAGTTAAGAGCACCGGATGCTCTTCCAGAGGACCTGGGTTCAATTCCCAGTACCCACATGGCAGCTCACAACTGTCTAGTTCTAGGGGATCTAACACCCTCACACACATGTACAAGCAGGCAGAACACCAATGTAAATTTAAAAAAAAAAATCCAAAATCATAACAAATAATGTCTGTTTTTTAATCAAATTCTTTACTACATAATTTAAATTTTATTTTTAAATACAATTTTAGCATTGTGGTAATTTTGCTATGGAAAATAAGTTCTACCTTGCAGGAAAGAGAAAATTCCTCAAAACTATTAACTAATTTATTCACATGTTAGAACGGGTGAGCCAGTGAAAATCCTAGAAGAAGAAGAAGAAGAAGAAAAAAAAAAAAAGACAGCAGTCAGGAGAAACAATTGCACTGCCAGGCATTTGTGGCATGCACCTTTTATCCCAGCAATTGGGAGGCAGAGGCTCTGAGCTTGAGGACAGCCTGGTCTACAAAGTGAGCTCCAGGACAGCCAAGGCTACACAGAGAAACCCTGTCTCAAAAATAAAATAATAATAATAATTTGTATTACACTATATCCTCACTGTAATTGCTTTAAAATCTGGAAGAACTATACAACAGTGGTAAATAGGTTTGTGTTTGGTTTAGTCAAAATGAGCTAAAAATGAGTTAGTGAGACCTGCTGACTAACAGGCCCTCCCCACTTGGCCTAGACACAGGTTATCATAGAAGGTGGGAAGCAGCCAGCCACTGTGAGTCAACCACAAACAGTGATAGACAAACATTCAAGACAAAAATAATACCTTGGAAATGAAAATGTCAGAATTCTACTGGAATGGAAATAAAAACGTTAAAGTATTTAATATAAGGATAATCCTACAGTTACAAATGACATTCACAGGGAAACTGTAGACAGATGTTGAAGCAGATCTTTAAAAGGATCTTTAGAAAGATTCCTGCCAAGCTACTTCCCTACTTGCTGTATGTTCATCTGCGTGGCCAGCAGGTTCTGTTCTCAGCGTCCTTTCTCTTGTCTCTAAGGAAATTCTGAAGTCTTTTGTGTCGACTCTCGCACAAGCAGAATTTCAGCAGAACTCTTTATATATGACAGTTTCCAAATTAGTTGTTGTGTATTTTACTGATTGTTCAGATATCTGCTCATCTGTACCCTATCTTTCTCGAGGAAGAAGCTGACAGTAGATCTGAGCCTATGAACCAAGTGAGATGGACGAGAAAGATGGCTCCGTGGGTAAAGCGCTTGCTGTGCAAGCAGAAGGATGGGAGTCCAGACTCCAGGCACCCACATAAACGCAGAGGTGGGGCGGCAGAGGTGAGATCCCTCTGGGCTCTGAGTATAGGAAGAGGGCCTGGCTCAGAGAATTAAAAAGTGAAGCGCTGTCGAGGAAGACGTCTGGCCATGTGCTCACTGTGCACACAGGCACCCACATACGTGAATACACGCACACCACCACATCCAGACACACGTGCTGGGGTGGGGGAGGGACGGAGTGGGGAAAGGGAGAGAAGGGATGAGTATTTGAGTAGATCTTCTGCTCTGAAGAGTGGCTGATTTGCAGAGTGGAGTCACGAAGGGCAGGTATTAGGAACATGCACGCGGAAGGACCAGAGTACACAAAGGAAGAATGAAAACCAGCTTACTCTGAGGAGGGAAGGGTGATTTGCGCGGCATACTATTTGCCGTCCATTTCCCTGTTGTAGCTACTGCATTACTATGCATTTGAGGTTACAGTAACTAAGTGGAATGCGACTGCCCAGGTCCATGGACTGCAGTCTCATCCTGACTGTTCCCTCAGCAGTTTGTTTTCTTTCAGTTCCTCAAACGCAGCCTGCTCCCTCCTGACACAGAGCCCTGTACAGCTTTCCGTCTCCTGGGTGCTAACTCATCGTCCTGATGTCAGCTGAAGCACTACTTCCAAGGAGTCTCCCTATAACCACAGTCTGTTTATTCACTTATGCTTGCTAAGAGCATCAACCCCGACCCCTCCGGTCACTCACCTTGCTCGGTCATGTCGTGCCGAGTTGTGACGTACCCCGCTGTCCACTGCCCCTGCTGAACTCTAAGCTCTGTGGTGTGAGGACTAGCCTGGTTTTGCTCACTTGTTACTCTAAACAAGCACACATAGCAATACCTCAACAAATACTTGTTGAACAAGCAAACGAAACTGCCAAAAACAAGAAACAAACTTGGAAGGAACTCTGGATCATGGAAGGGGTCCCGAGAGACTATGCATTTCTTGCTTTCTGCTCAGTAACTGAACTTACCTGGGCCTTCCGCGTACTCTGTGGTTCGATCATGATGTTGATGAGACAGGGTCTGCTTGTGTCTTGCAGGGCCTGCCTCAAGGAGTTTTGGAGCTCTTCTGGTGTTTGTACAAAATACCCTTTGCCTCCAAATGCAGTCATGACTTGCTCATAATGGGAGTTTGGCAAGAGACATACTGGAGGGACACTGAAAAGCAAGTTGCTAAGTCAATAAAATTAAAATCTTTAAGTTTCTTGAAGAAAGTAAATCTCCAAGATTATCTGCAAAACAATTTAAGCTGACCCACAGGGCATATTTTTCCCCAGACCAGCTCTATATAACAGCAGCACATAACACACGTGTAATTTTCCCCGACATCCCTTCATTCATCTGAGCATTTTCATGCCTCCTTGGTGAGCGAGCTGACTTCCAGGTCTTTTATTACTGAAAAAACCGGCAGCTCTAGCTGCCAACGACAACACCCTAACAGTTAATGCAACAATAACTGAAGGTGTTGGCCGGCTCTTGCTTGTTTCCCTTTGTCTGTTTCCAGACAGGGTCTATATAACCAGGCGTGACCTGGAACCTGCTGTGTAGATCAGGCTGATCTTGAACTCTCAAGAGATCTGCCCATCCCTGCCTCCTGAGCATTGGGATTAAAGGCATGCACCACCATGCCTGGCTGTGGATAGATTAAAAAAAAAAAAAACAAAAACCAACAAGTTCTTTTTCCCTTTAAAGCACAAACAAGCAAACAAGCACAAAGCCTGTGAACCACTCTAGTACATCCCCTGTTAAGATGGGCAGGTTCTTATGTACACTTGTGAGTTTTGTTCCCCGAGAGGCCTTGACTAATACGACATCGACATCTTCCCTAGTGTGGTGGAAGCAGCAGCACAGCTATGACCCAAGTGTAGACATCACAGATCCTGATCTGAGTGAGCCCTGACTAGAAGCCATCAAGGACAGCTATATAGAAAGGAACCATGAAGAGTTGGCTTCTGCCCTTTAAAGGGCCTGCCAACCAACCACGCTTCTAGTACGGAAGCATATTCTATACCGCAAACTCTAGAAGACAAACTAAGTACCTGACATAAGGTGACCATACACTGTTGAGTTACTCACGTTGTAGCAGCTTCTTGAAAATTTGACATTTTTTCCCAGGTGTCAGCATCCAAACCTTGGTAAATTCCATTATTGTTTACTACCAAGAGTATGATGGGCAAATTGTACCTAAAGTGAAAGTAAACTATGAAGAGATCATTCCTTCTAAAGCAATTTATTTTCTTAAAACTGACATTTTTACTTTAAAATAGATGTTTTCTAGAAGAGTTTTTCAATAGAGGGAAAAATCAGCATTTATTATCCTAATAAAAAAAAAATAACCAAACCATTGACAGAAACATCACAGTTGTGGACTGTTATTCAAGACTAGGGCTGGTAGTCTTCTTAGCTACGGCCCTTGGGTGAAAAACTTTTTCAGCTGGTTACAAGAAGAATACCTTTTCTGAGAAACACCCATCTGGATGCTGTGAGAGACACAGCCAACCAATACCTAATCTGCATCTATAATCGAAAACAGCACGGCCTGATCAGCAAAGAAAAAGAGCATCCAACAAGCAAACAGCATAGCAAAGGTAAAACAAAGCTGAAAAAGAAGGTAGGCTTTCTTTTCTAAACATATACATAATTTATGAGGGCTGTGGGAATGACAGAACTGTGTAACATGAACGTGGTGACTATCTGTGCTAGACGGGAAACGTCACCCTCTAAAAGGCTAACTTCTCTCTATACATCATCTTTTTGGCTTATGTCAATTAGCTGTCAATACAGACCTAACAGGCCACACTGTTCTCTTAATACACTGGCTCATGTAGCCCAGGCTGACCTTGAACTTGTTATGCTGTAATCCCAAGTGCTGGGACCTCAGAGTACATTGACAAACCTGGTTTTCCCCTTGATCTTGACAGTTTTACATACCAAAGCTTTGAAAGTCTCAAAACATGATTCATAAAACCCTAAGACCCCAAAGCAGAAGAGTTTCAGTGTAGCTTGAATACAGCTGTAAGGGCCAGTGGAGACCTTGTGCTGTTATGGTGGGAGTTTCCACAGGAGAACTTATACTAGCAACCCCAGGACAAAGTGCTGTTCCAGGACACCTGCTGGTGAAGCAGCTGGACCCTGCAAGTCTCCATTTTCATGAGAATGAGATGCTATGATTTATGGCTGTTTTACCTGCAGATGGTTTCCACTTCCATGCCTGAAAATCCAAAGGCACTGTCTCCTTCCACACAGATGACCCGCTGTCCAGGACTTCTATCTTTAGCCACCATAGCAGCTGCAATAGCAAATCCCAAACCGACTCCCATTGTTCCAAAAGACCCAGCATCGAGCCTGTGAGAAACAAAGCTAAAATCAAACTCTCCTATAAATGGCATACAGTGTGCATTTAACACAAGCCTTTCAGTCTATATTTATGTGGTTTATAAAAACAATTAACAATTTTTCTTAAATGTAAAAATTTTGAAACATACGGAACTAATTTGTCAAGGATAAACAGCATGAAAAAAAAAGCCACTCATCTGATTGGGTGACTGTAAATATACTCTTAGAACATTGAATATTCAAGTTATCACATTATACCAAGGACTATGAAGCATTAAAACTATATAATCCGGGCTGGAGAAATGGCTTAGAGGTTAAGAGCACTGACTGTTCTTCCAAAGGTCTTGAGTTCAATTCCCAGCAACCACATGGTGGCTTATAACCATCTCTAATGATATCTAGTACCCTCTTCTGGCATGAAGGCAGAAAGCTGTATAAATAATAAATAAATCTTAAAAAAAAAACCCTATATAATCCTAGCACTCAGGCAAGCAGATCACTTTATGTAGGCCAGCCTGGTCTACAGAACAAGTTCTAGGAAAGAGAGAAACACTGTCTTGAAGAACAAACAACAACAAAAAAGAATATACTTATATGGGGATGGAGAGATGGCTCAGAGGTTAGGAGTACTTGTTGCTCTTGCAGAAGACCTGAGTTGGATTCCTAGTACCCAGGTGGAAGCTGTTGTAACAGCCTGTAACTCCAGTTCCAGCAGATCCAAAAGCCTTTTTCTTATCTCTAAGGGCACCAGGCAGGCATGTGGTGTACATACATACACAGGCAAATCACTTATACACATAAAGTAAATAAATCTAAAGAAAATTAAAACACACTTGAGAAATATGTTCCTATATACTAGACATGTACAGTTCTCAAATATTTTTCTTAATCAGCATTACTGTGGTTTCAAATTAAGCACAATGTCATTTCTTCCTTGGAGTCTTACCTGTGACGAGGAAGATAGTTCTGAAGCACAGTTCGTCCAATGTCCATGGTGTTTGCTCCCTCACTTACTATAAAACAGTTTTTGGGCAGCTGTTCTTGAACATGGTAGAACACTGTGTAATAGTTCATAGGGAGGGATTTTTTGGAAGCTAGCTCCTAGAACAATAGAGGTGAGTAAACACTAAATTATATTGGGACATAATGAAAATCGCCAACGCCAATAAGCTATTATCAAAGTTACTGGGGAAGAATACCAACAGTAAGCTAGAAGAGTCCCAAGTGGCTACACAGTGGCTACTCTTTGCTCTGTGAGCAACGTGCCTACAGTCCCAGCTTGGGACACAATGTGTAAGCTGGTGAATCCCTCATGTCCTAGAAGTCGTATACAAAAGATGGCTGAGCAACACCAGGCTAAACAAAACAGGACAGTCTTTCTTGTGCACTCTTAGAAAAACATTGCCTATGTATTTTTTCAGAATATTTTTATCTAAAATATGACCCTAAATTTAAAACTAACATGTTAGGATTACAGAAGATCTGAAAATCTGGCTCTTCTTTCACACACGGTAAAGCAGCTGTGTCTTCAGACAGCCATATGCCCACTGGCGCGCAGAGGAGCCCCTGGGTTTCCTCAGTGCCAGGCTGCCTGGTCCCAGCACACCTCACCTGTGTTGCCCTGCTGTGCTAGGGTTATACCAAGGCACACAGCAGACTCTGCACACCCTAGAGCAGACAGAGGAGCTCGCCGAGGGGGTCCTGAGGTACTGAGAAAACAGAGCCGAGACTGGCTCCTGACAGTAGTCATGGTCACTCACTAAGATTTCCCTGACCGGCGGAGTTAGGCGCATCAATCCTGCTATGATGTTTGGCTCTGTGAGGCAGACAAATTAGGGGGCAAAAGTGCCTAACTCAAACTTCAAATGTATCATCCCATCAGGAGGAAATCCCAGGTCTCCGGGCTGGAGAGATGGCTCACTGGTAGAGGGCACTTGTTGCTCTTACAGAGAACCCAGGCTGGGGTCCATGCACACTCATCTAGGTCACAACTGTCCACAACTCCAGTTCCATCTGACCCTGGCGCACATGGTGCACACACACATGCAGACAAACACTCAGTACAAAAAACAAAATAAGTACTTAAAAAGGAGAAACCTGGGGACTGGAGAGATGGCTAGCGGTTGAGAGCACTCACTGGCTGCTCTTCCAGAGGACCAGGGTTCAATCCCCAGCACCCACCTGGCAGCTCACAAATGTCTGTACCTCCAGTTCCAGGGGATCCGACAGCCTCACACAGGTAAGTATGTGAGCAAAATGCCAGTGCACATAAAATAAAACTAAATTAAAAAAGGAGGAAACCCTGGTGTAGACTGAATACCGAGCCCAGCTGAGCCAACACACACACGAATACACAAAACACTAAAAGAAAAGAAAAACAACCCAGAATCCCATCTGACAATCAAGGGGAAAATACTGTATGTATAATGACTTTGAACAGAAAACACCAAACACTGCAAGACTGACTCATTGCAGTAAGGATGAGTGGTGACTTCAAAACTCATGACAACCTCCAAACCCTTCACTAGGAAGCAGAGCCGTGAGGCCAGGTGTGAAAGAAAGCTGTGAGAATTCTGAGTGGTGAGACAAAAGTAAATGGCAGTGTGTTTGTGCGTGTGTGTGTGTGTGAGAAGCAGTGGACTATACGCTGATCACACTGCCCACTTTGAAGAAGGAACTCTCACATGCCTTGAAGGAAGGCTATCTTAAGGGCAGATAACCATACCCTCACCTGCCCTGGGATATAACTGTGCTACTCTGCACCAAAATGAACTGGTAACTTTCCAAGGTCAGATCGCCTTTCTTCTACTGCTTCCCAGCAGCTGGGGAACCACAGCCCTGTGAATGCTGTGCTGCAGGAGTGTGCAGTCTCGGTCAGGGTGGAGCGCACAGTGGCGGCAGCACGTGCACCATGTGTATGGGCATGCACACACTCTTTTCTTAGCTACTTACATAGCTGAAACTTCGACATCTTTTACCTCTGTGTAACAGCCCTGGCTGTGCTGGACTCCCTCTGTACACCAGGCCGGTCTCAAACTCAGATCCGCCTGCCTCTGCCTCCTGAGTGCTGGAATTACAGCTGCAACACTGCTCCCGGAGCCACAACCATTCTTTGTTAGCTCTTACCTCACTTTCTGGTTTGTGGGCCTTGTGGGAGCTGTGCCCCAGCATTCTTTTTGATCCCTAAGCTTACAGAGAACAGTGCTTCCTAAGACCGTCTACGCCTGTTGTGGAAGGACTAAGCAAAGCACCAAGCAAAAGGGATCCTGAATTTCCACTGGCCCCACATTACCTGGGACACAGCTTCATTACTCTTCATTTTCTCCCTCAGCATCTTCCACCACTTGCTGTCCATGGGGTACTGCCATGGGGTTTTATCAAACTGTTCTAAAAGCTAAAAAACAAAAACAAAATAAAAACTTTCCTTTTTGAAAATAAACTTGAGTCATAGTAACTTAAAATTGAATTCTGGTGCATCAGTCTGCGGGAGACCCTGGGCTCAGATCCTTTAGCTTTTTGGTCTCCTTGTGGAGATGGGGCTGATTGGCAGCTCAGTCTTCATGTGGATCTCCGAGTGAGGGGAGCAGGGGCTGCCTCTATCATGAACCCAGTTGACTGCTTTCTGATCACTGGCCCCTGGTGTTGCAGTCTTGCCAGGCCATGGAGGAAGAGGATCCAGGCAGTCCTGGTGAGACTTAACAAGCTATGGACAGATGGCAATAGTGGAGAACTCCCCCTTCAGTGGACTAGGGGAAGGGAATGAAGGAAGAGGGAGGGAACGTGGGACTGGGGGAGTTGAGGGACAAAGCTTCAGTCAGGATATATAATGAATAACTTGTGAAGAAAAAAAAAATTTTAAAAATTGAATTCTGGTTTGAATGACCATAAAAATCTTCTTAAAGCAGGTAGAGGACACACTGCCCTGCCCTTCACAGTGCTCACACACTGGCTCCTCTTCCTGCAGTGAGCAACAAACAGGTGCGGATCAGTGGGGAGCACGGTGAGCCACACGGCAGACAAGGGCTGAAAAGTGAGTGCACTTGTGACAGGGCCTGCACCGGCATCTCAGTGCTGTGCACTCCAGATAACATACAAGATCGAGTGGTGACTGTGACCACATACCTCCCACCACGACGAAATGTATACATTATCTATAAAGAGGAAGCTGGGCAAGTCACTGATTATAGTTTGAAGAGTAACATCTCTTTTATTACCTGAAAAAAAATACTGTTAGGTCCCCCCAACCCCCCCCCCCCCCCCCCCCCCCCGTGTAAGTCAAGCTTAAGTCCTTTAAAATCTATATTGCAATTTTTCTCAGCTAGCTGAATTCTGTCTAACTGAATTCTGGTTTGAATGACCTTAAATCTTTATGATGTTAAATCACCTTTCTAAAATGAGTAACTTCCACAAATATGAACCATACACAAAGAGCTGAATTTACCAAGTTCAAAAGCTGCAATTAGAGTTAGTTTTCATCATAAAGCTGGTTTAAAATTGATGTTACTAGACAGGCCACCAAGTGCTTCAAGACTAACCTTATCCAGAACTGACTGAGGGACTAATGCCCAGAAACTAAAACCCATAGAAAGGTTCCCACCTGTTTACAAACAGCATTTACGTCTCCCAGCAAAGTCACAGAAGGCCTTACATTATTCCCCAGTTCTTCTGCGCAGATGTCAATCTAAAAAAAGAGAAAGGTCTGAAGAACAAGCCATGTTTGAGCTCTTCTGTTTTGAACAAACTTACTTTACATTTTATTTGTGTGTGTATTTTGCCAGCACATATGTGTATGTATTACACGTGTGCCTGGTACCCAGAGAGGACAGAAGAGGGCATCAAATACTCTGGGACTGGAGTAACGGGTCACTGTGAGCTGCCGTGTGAGTACTGGGAACTGAACCCAGGTCCTCTGGAAGAGCAGCCAGCTCTCCAGACCACTGTGTTTGTGCTCAAAAACCTTTAAGAAGGGCTGCTGTGAGCCGGGCATTGAGGTGCACGCCTTTAATTCCACCACTCAGGGAGGCAGAGGCAGGAGGATTGACGTGAGTTCAAGGCCAGCCTGGTCTCCAAACTGAGTCCAGGACAGCCAGGGCTACACAGAGAAACCCTCCGTCTTGAAAACAAAAACAAAAATGAAAAAGCCACCAATAAGAAACAAAACCAGGCTGTTGAGATAAAGCACCTCCAGCAGCACCCTACAGGCCGTCTTCTGGCCCTCGGGACCTGTGATGACATGCCAGTGCGCATACACACGTGCACACACGCACACACTAAATAAATATAATTAATACAACAAGCAATGGTGTTCAAACAAAGCTTTAAGAAGGCCTGACGAGGCTTCAGAAGTTAGGAGCCACAGCTGGTCCTCCAGAGGACCTCGCTTCACTCCCCAGCACCCACATGGAGGCTCACAAGCACCAGGAACCAGAGTTCCAGGGACCCGATGCCCTATTCTGTCCTCAGGGCACTGGGAGCATGCAATGTAGAGTCACAAGGAGAGGTTAGAGTGCTTTCCAGACATTCAGTTTAATGGCAGCTGAAAGCAGAGTCATTTAGAGATTTCCAGAGGCTGACAGTTTTAGCATCTTAAAAAAGAATCTACCCCCCTACCAAGGCTGAGGGTGTCACTCCAATCCACCACCCTCCTCAACCCCTCTTTCTCTATCTTTAAATACACTGTAACTCTGAAGAGGCGAATTATGCTTCTCAAACTGTTTGAAACTTGACTTTGAACATTTCTCTGGTTAGAATTACTACAAGATGCTTTGTAGGCTTGAAAAGTACCTGTAATTATGTTAGATCATTTGTAAGATCTATTTTTGTATGAAGACAAAAGGTTCTTTACAAAAGCCCAAAGAAGACAGAGCTTACAGTGGCTGAGTGGGAGGACTGAAAAGCACGGAGCACATCTGCAGGCCCCCTCGGAGTACCTGAATAAACTTCACATCTGCCTGATATCTTGGAGGCAGTCCAAAATGCAATATCCAGTTTAGTCTCGCTCCAAAGAGCACAATCACATCAGCAGCCTGCAGAGCCCTATTGGGAAAAAAAAAAAAAAAAACAATTTAACAATTTTTCAATTTTTTTTTAAATTTGAATTGTTCTAAACTTCTTAAAATACTTTCAAAGTCTAAATAATTTGGAGCTTTTAGAGTAAATCTGACCTCTCAGACTAAAGTAGGTTTTGGGAGGCTGGAAAGGCGGCTCACTGGGCACTATGCTTGCTGTGCGAACATGAGACCCTGAGTTTGTATCCCCACCACAGAGGGGCTGCCTGCCGTGCACACCCCTAAGCTGAGCACTGGGGGAGGAGGGATCCCAGAAGCCAGGTGCTGAGGCTGTGCTCAAGACCAATCGAGAAAGTGACTGAGAAGAAGCCGAAGGTCACCTTTGCCATCCAGGGGTGCAAGTGTGTACCCCACCCCCACACATACCACATCACACCTACACATGCACATAGGACACATGTGTTGTTACTTTGTTTTGAAGATAGGGTACTGTCTTTTTAACTGAAGCTGGTCTTAAACTTGTGATCCTCTCCCCTCCGCCTCCCACATGCTGGGGTTACAGCTGAGCAACACTATGCCTGGTGTGTTTTTGTTTTCAGGTGTGGCCGGGATAGAACCAGGACTTCACGCCTGAAAGGCAAGCACTCCACTGAGCCGCACCCCAGACTCCCAGCTCCTACACCTGCATCTGAATGCATACTTCACCGAAGTCTAGGAGCAGCACCGTTCAGATTCCAGAATTGCATTCTTTTTTTAAAGACATAGTCTTATGTAGCCCAGGTTGGCCTCAAATTCCTATGTAGATGGATGACTTTGAACTTCTGATTCTTTCATCTGCCTCCTCAGGGGTGGGATTGACATGTGTCACCATGTCTGAGTTATGTAGTGTAGGACTTCATGCCTGCTAAGTAAGCACTCTAACTGAGCTACATCCTCGACCTGGAATTGCTTCTAAAATACACTAGGCATTTTCACCAAATGTCCAAATAATTCAGAGCAGGCTGTGTTTTCACAAATTTTCAGAAACTTGATCATCTACGTTTGGGTCATCTGCTTTGTGAATTCCAAGCAGTCTACAGATGGTACTGTGAATACATCACTCTGTAGGTACCAGAAGGCAGACGCTGTGTTAGCGGGATTCCAACTGAAGATTTTACAAATACAGAAAAAACGGAAATTGGGTAAGAGCCCAACAACTTCCTCTCCTCAATGAAGCTCATCAACACACGCCCATTCATGGCTCCCCAGCACTCTGCACCCTTCACCTCTCCTCCTTCCATTTCTTCCCAAAAGCCCATCTACATACACTTATTCCAGACCCAGCTACTACCCTGTTCCCTCCCTCCCTTTCTTTCCTCTCACATTTCTTTTCCCTTCTTCCTTCCATTGAAGCAGATCAGCAGTCACCCCCAGCCTCTAATGGTTTTCCTTCCCAACTACATTCCTTCTCTTTCCCATCCCTCTCTTCTTCTTCCATTATGAGACAGGGTTTCACTATGCTGGCCAACCATAACCTCCTGACTCAGCCTCCAAGGAATCCAAGCATGTGCCACTGCACCTAGCTAAGAGAAGTCTTGAAAGTAGCCAGAGATAATGAGACACTATGTTTAGGAGAACTGTGATACAAATAACTGAAGGTGTTCTTCTAAAACCACAAAAGCAAGAACAAAATCAATAGTATCTTTAAAAGCTGAAAAGTTCAAAAACAGGTATGTTTAAAATTACATGAGCCTTTTACAGTTCCTCACTCAATTCATCAAGGTCACAAAAATATTAATCCAGTGTAAAATCTGGCTAAAGCCTGCAATGCCACTCACCTGGATCTGGCTGCACCTACACAATTCGGATGATTGTCAGGGACAACACCCTTCCCCATAGGGGTGGGCAAAAACGGCAAATTGCACTGCTCCACCAGCCTCCTGATACTGTCCTCTGCATGGGAGTAAGCAGCACCTACAAGAAATGCAAACCATTGGATGGTTCAGTTACACTTAGCACGGGGGCCTCAAATACTTCCTATGAATTTGCTTCCAGGTCCCCAAACTCTCCTTCTACATAAACATCAGCTTGAAAACAAAATGAATGGTAACAGCTATCCTGAAGAACTTCCTCTAAACAAAACCTGCATTTTGTATTTCCTGTGGCTGTCACTTTCCTGCTTTATGCTCTAGGCCTACTAAAATACTATCTACAATTCCCTGAGCACAAGTGGGTAGGGATGACCTTTGCCCTGAAGGACAAAGACTGCACTTTCATGAATTGCTCTACATTACCAGTAAACAAACCTCTTCTGCAGTCTACTGTGCAGGATGCATGAGTTTCTAAAGCTCTGCAGATCTTTCTAGAGTCTCTACAACGCTTTGGCTGTAACACAGAACAGTGAAGGCAGTGTCTGAGGAGAAGCAGCCTTCCCAACGTCTGTGAGTGGAGAGCTCTCAGCTCACCTTTCCCGATGATGAGCAGGGGTCGCTCGGCATTCCTCAGAACAGAGGCTGCCGTACACACGGCCGAGGTTTCTGCCATGCTAACAGGAGGTGGCATGCAGCACTCCTTGTACCTGGAGAGAAAAATGATGTTATAATAATTACAAGAGGCTAGGGGCTGGGAGGTGGCTCAGCAAGCAAAGGCACTCGCCACTGAGCCTGATGAGCTGAAGACCAGAGTTCACTCCCTGGACTGGTGGGCGGAGAGAGCTGATTCCAGCAAACTGTCCTCTGACCACTAGACCCTGCATATGCACACCAACACGTACCTGCTTTAGGCTGAGAGTGGCAGCGCATACCTCTAATCCTAATACTCTGGAGGCAGAGGCAGACAGATCTCTGTGAGTTTGAGGCCAGCCAGGTCTACACAGTGAGTTCTAAGACAGCCATATATAATGTTGGAGCTAGAGAGACAACTCAGTGGTTGAGAGCACTGGCTGCTATTCCAGAGGCTGAGTTCAACTCCCAGCACCCACATGGTTGTTCACCATCATCTATATTGGGATCTGATGCCCTCTTCTGGAGTGCAGGCACACATGCAGACAGAGCACTCACATGCATAGAATAAGTAAATCTTTAAAACCAAAAAGGCTAATTTTAAAACTTTTACTGTAAAAATTTCAAATTTTACGGATAATGCATTCTATATACCTGGCCCGGCATGGTGCTGCACACCTTTAATTTCAGCACTCAGGAGGCAGATGAAGGCAGATCTCTGTGAGTTTGAGGCCAACCTGGTCTATATAGGTAGCTCCAGGTCAGGATGGGATACATAGACGCTATCTTTAAAAACTTCCATAAGCTCAATGTGGAGTTCAATGAGAGCACCATCTCCCCACATCTGTATCACTGGTACACGCGCATGCACACACAGCCTCTCCCCACACTGAATCTTTTCACAGTCACTGCAGGAATCAGACCTTTTATTCTTTTTTTTTTTTTTGGTTTTTCAAGACAGGGTTTCTCGGTGTAGCCTTAGCTGTCCTGGACTCACTTTGTTGACCAGGCTGGTCTTGAACTCACAGCGATCCGCCTACTTCTGCCTCCCTGAGTGCTGGGATTACAGGCGTTCACCACTGTGCCCAGCTGGACCTTCTATTCTCAAAAGCTTGAAAATGCAGCTCTAAAAGATAAGGACCTGCTTTTATACAACTATCAAGTCCTAATGACACCTAGCAAACCAAGAGTTATTTCTTAACATCAGCTAATGGTCAGTCAACCAGGTAGTTCATTGCCAGGAAGTCTGGGTCAATGGCACCACTGCAGGAACAGTACATCAGAAAACGGTAGGAGTTAAAACAGAAATAAACTGATATGTAATACTATATACCATTTATTCTCATTTGATTTTCTTTTTAACTTTATTTTTTTCACAATTTATTCATTATATATCCCGATTGAAGCCCCCTCCCTCAACTCCTCCCAGTCCCACCCTCCTTCCCTCGTCTCCCATCCCCTTTAGCTAGTCTCATTTGATTTTCAAAACAAGGTAAGGTATTACTACTATCTCATTTGCACCAAGTTCCACATGGCACATGGCAAGATGCACTGCACCAGTATTCTGTCACCTAGGTCCTGGCTGCTTTAACCTCACCATTCCCAATTCCACTCACTACTAAGCTGAAATTACACTAGTAAAGTAAAATTAGTAAGGCACCACAGCAGGCCTTACAAAAAGAACTACTAAATAGTTAAGTATTTTTGAATAACAGGTCCTCACTATGACAGGTCACTTATTCTCACAAATAAAAACTGGGATCTATATTATCCAAATATCTGAACATACAATAAAATAGGCCATCAACCTCTAAACGAAGGTTACAGATTTTTAACTTACCTAAGGCTCACTGTCCTCCATTCCTTAGTATTATTTTGATTGTCATATTCAGATAATAGGTCTCCTTGTGTCTGAATTCTCAAAGATAGAAATTACCCCAGTACACTAGACATAATGACCTCCGTCTGTAGCCATTACAGAACCATTTCCATAATAACAAGGTCCACAAAAGTTGCATTTAAGACTAACTTTAAGACAATGAAACATGAGTGGCATGCTGATGCATGCCCTTAATCCCAGTCCTTGCGAGGCAGAGGCACATGGACCTCTATAAGTTTGAGGCCACCTGGTCTACACAGTAAGTTCCAGGACAGCCAAGGCTTTGCAGTGAGACACTGTCTCAAAATACACTGCCCCACACATACACACACTTAAAACCAGGAAGCATGTCACGATGGTCAATAAATAAACTATAACAAGAATGCAACATACATAATCTGTATGAAGGCTCGGGACAGTAGTGCTCACCTGTAATCCCAGCACTTGAAAATGAAGGCAGAGGATTGAGAGTTTGAAACCAGCCTGGACTCTACAATGAGACCCAGTCTCAAACACCCCTCAATCTAAAAGTCAACATGTTGACTAAGCATGCATGATAAAAAGGCCAGGTAGTAAATGTTAAAACTGTCAGTCCTTAGAATTAAAAGATTTCTTTTGGGCTGGAGGAAAGGCGCAGTGGTCAAGAGCACCTCCTGCTCCTCCAGGACCTGATCTGTGTTCCCAGCACCCAACTGCCTGTAATTTCAGCCCCTAGCCTCCACAGACCCCGCACACTGTGGCGTGCAGTGACACACACACACACACACACTCACACTCATAAATAAGATAAAAGAATTATTTCTACATAGCTGGATTTTTCTAAAAATGTCAGAGAAGGGAAAGCATATTTTATCCCTAAGACTAAAGAAATAGCACTGAGGGAACTGATGGACTACAGCAGCATCTTTATCAAGGGGAACGATATCACGGCGACTTTTGTATTTTTTCCAGAAACACACTTGAGAACATTAACGTTATGGAGATAGCTTCTAATGCTGAGTCCTAGCAAGTTTTTAACAGTCCTCCACCTCATCCCTCGGCTTATGCTAAGATGCCCATCAGTAACCCATACATTCACATAGATACAGATCTGGGGTTACTGGGTGGAAAACTTCAAATGAGGAATTCAGAAAGTTCCACGAATTAGATTTAGTAATCAAATCCACAGGCAGTTACTAAGTAATACCTTTTTAATGAAGAGAACTAAGCCTTTGGCTAGGATTCAGTTTGGTTTCAAAATCATCAAAAAATATTGAGACACTTGGAAATTAACTGATGAACTTCTAGATAAATTCCTTTCGAAAAGTATGACAATACAAAATTAAGGAAGACCTGTGAATAATCCTTACTTTATAGAAGCCACATTCTCCTGGAGGGTCACGAGATCTGCAGGAATGTCAACGTAGCAAGCACCCGGGCGGCCGTAGATGCTGCTCCTCACTGCCTGTGTTTATCACAAACAGAAGGTTTTTAATATCTCAATTATCACATTATTCTTAAATTAATTTAAAAGTCTAAAATGAGCACTGATTTGTCTTGAGGTATTCTTAGTTGGAGAAAAGTTGTAATTAAAATTGAAATTAACTATATTTTGAAAGATACTTTCATGTAAAAGGGGCAGGGATCCTGAAGGGCTTTGAAATGTACTGTTACACTTGCAGAGCTCCCATGAGGCTCTGCTTGCTATTTATACTGAATATAGACTTCTACCCACTTAATCATTGGGCAGAGTTCTCAGAAACCGTGATAATGTGTGTCAAATCAATCCTGTAACTCATGGTTTGAAAATAGCTAAAATAACATTTCACATGAAACTCTTGCTATCTAACAATTTACCGCATGCTATTTAATAAACTAAAAGATGATTTTTTTTTTTTTTTTTGGAGAAAGATGATCTTACATGCAGCAGCTCTGATATTTTTGCAAATGCTGAAGAGATTACTGCCCAGGGGCTTATTATACATTTGTCATTACTTTGCTTTAATTAAAAAGAATAATTTAAGAAAGTAATTTACAGAACTTTTTTCCGAAAATAACTTTCTTTACCTCTGTTTCAATAATTAAACGTAATGGCAGTGAACATTAGAACGTAAACAGCTTTTTGACATTGTTATTTTTCAGTCTGGGTATGCTTCTATCTTTCCAGTAAGAACAGAAACAGCGGTGCTGGTGTGTGGCTCTGAAGGAGAGCGTGTGCTCGGCGAGTACAAGGCGCTGGGTCCCACACCCAGAAGAGCTTTTCAGTGACACTGTACCTTCTCAATTACGAAAGGAATACGCTCTATGCTGCTTGGCCGGGCAGAGAACTTGCTGTATAATCTGCAAGCTTCAACCTATGCAGAACATGAAAATCATTTGAGTTCAGCTCACAATCATACTGCTCACTTAAAGGAAGACAATGTTTACGTCATTGCTTCTTATTACATTTACAGGCAAGATTTGAAAAGTGCCTTTTGCTTTTGTGGGTTTTTTGTTTTTTGTTTTTTTTTTTTTGAGATCATCTCAAAAAACATTCAGATCACAATCAAATTTCTTCCTCAGGATGATTCTAGAAACAATTCAAAACAACACACTATTTCCATTTCTCAGGTTGGCAAAAATGAAGGTAACACCCAGCACGTGCCACATGCCACAACCTAGGAGGCCAGGCGCTCGTTAACTGCTGGAGAGTGCACACAGAAGGGAAGCCAACAGACCTTTCACCCAGTATAAACGAGCAGCATGAACCAGCGGGTGCCCTCGAGGACTATGTAGTCATACGCTTGGGCTACTGTGCTGTTGCTGTGCTGCCAGGAACATGGCAGCTGAGAGCCCTCTGCCTCTGCACTGTCTAGGGTACTCTGAGAAATGTGGAGAAGCTTCCTTCTCAGACCCTTCAGTATGAAGTCTATGGAAAGACGACAGCCCCAGTCACACAGGCTTGCCAGAACCAAGGCCACCCTTCTTATGTTCATGTCCTCCAGCTTTAATAACTTCCAATATGAAAAGGACATTCGGTTTTTAAGTCAAACTGTGTTTTAATTTTTATTTTAATCTAATGCACTGTTATTATTTTTAGGAAAATATACTTTAACAGTTGGCATTAATGCCATGCTACCTGCTTCCCATCAATATAATTCTTATGGTAACTTCAATTTTTCTTTAAAAATGTTTATACTCATTTATTTCCTCTCTATATGTGGTGGTCTCCATGAAATTGGCCCCCATAGGCCCATAGGGAGTGGCACAGTTAGGAGGTGTGGCCTAGTTAGAGGAAGTGTGTCATAGGGAGTGGGCTTTGATATGTCAGAGGCTCAAGCCAGGCCCAGTGTAACTTTCTTTTCCTGCTGCCTGAGGATCCAGATTAAAACTCTCAGCTCCCCCTCTAGCTCCACGTCTGCCTGCATGTCGCCAGGCTTCCCGCCATGACGATCATGGACTAAACCTCTGAACTGAGGCAGCCCCGGTTAAATGCTTTCCTTTACAAGAGTTTCCCAGGTCATGGTGTTCTTCACAGCAATAGATACCTTAACTATACGTGTATGTGGAGTGAAGAGATGATAAGACAAACTGTGAGAACTGAGCCTCCTTCTACCATGTGGGTTCTGAGCACTAAAGCCAGGCTGTCGGGCTTGATGGCAAGTGCCCTTCCTCACTGTGCTATCCTGCCTACCCAAAATTTTTGTTTTGCTTTGAGATGGGGTCTTGCTAGCCTAAGATAGTATCAAATTGATGATCTTCCGGCCTCAGCCTCCTAACTGTTGGGAATACTGGTGTGTGCCACCGCACCCATGTCTGTTTCTAAATTTCCTCTCAATTACTTACCAATTCTATTTTTCTGGGTATATGAGCACCATTTAAACACTGTTGTTACTCTACACTTAACCAATAAAACTTTGTTTTTCAAGACTCTAAAGACATAATTTTCCCATTAAGTTATATGAAAGTGTAGTATTTTTCAGTAGTTTATTATATAAAATTTCATATGAAACCTTGGGTATGGCTCAGTTGTAGAGAATCTGCCTAGCATGTGTAGCTCCAATGCATTCATGTTAAGTGTCACTCACTCTCCCGTATTTGTATTCAGTAACTATTTTTTTATTTATTTAATTCTGTGTATACAAGTGTTTTGCTGCATATATGTATGTGCACCATGTATGTGTCTGGTGCCTGTGAAGATCAGAAAAGAACGTCAGACCCCCTGGAACTAAAGTCTTGGATGGCTGTGAGTCCACTGTGTGGGTGCTGGGAACCAAACCCGGGCCCTCTGCAAGTACAAGTGCTCTTAACTGCTGAACCATCTCTTCAGCTCTCTGCAAATTATTTTTGAAGCTGCAACATTTTGTTGACAAATTTATTTTTTTCAACTTTTCAAGTACTTTCTTTTCTCCTAAAATAAAAATAAATGTATACCAAGTCTAATAATTTTAAAAAGAAATTTTTTCTTTTAACTATTTCTGCAAAGGAGAAGGATATATCTGCAGGCCATTTCAATTCATACATCTTTCTTACTATGTGGAGGACTTTGCAATTTCAGATTAAAAATCAGGTCACTTTTGGAGGGACTAGAGAGGAGGCTCAAGGCAAACAGCACTCACTGCTCTTCCAGAGGACCTGAGTTTGGTTCCTAGCACTCGTCAGGTAGGTCACAGCCCTCTGTAACTCCAGCTCCAGGGGTCTGACATCTCTGGTCTCCATGGGCACCTGGACTTAAATGCACATACTCATATGCACAAACCTACACACACACATACACACACGTACACGTAATTAGCAATAATAAAACAGATCTGTTTTAGGGACTAGAGAGATGGCTCAGTGGCTAAGAGCACTCGTTGCTCTTCCAGAGGACCCAGATTAGATTCTTATCACCCACAGGGTAGAATGCAGCCACCTGTGACTCAGTTTCAGGGGATCTGACGCCCCCTTCTGGCCTTCACAAGCACTATACTTGTGGCAAAGTACCGATATAAATAAATAAAATGAAAAAGTTTAAATCGTGTCACTGCTGAGATACTTCTTTAGATCTTTTTGATTCTGTCCATGTGTTTGTGCATTTGAGTGCAGTGCCCAGAGGAGCCAGAGGGGGGCGTCAGATGCACTCGCACCTCTGCCAGAACAGCTTAACCGCTGACCCGTCTCTCCAGCCCCTAAGCCTTCTCTTAACACAACCTGACACAGTCTTGCTCAGGAAATAACCTTGCACACTTGTTGCAATTTTTCCTTTTTGTTGTTTCCACTTTATAGATTAAAAACTTTTAATTACACTGATATAGATATGTTATATATGCAGTGTCATGTAGAGGTCAGAGAACAGCTTGTGGAAATCGGTCTCTCTCTTATCACGTGTGTTCAGGCTTGGAGATAAGTGTCTTTACCCCCTTTATCTTGCCTGCAATACAGATTTATTTTATTTTTTTACATATTTTATAAATTGTGTTTGTGCTAATTAGGTGTTTTGGGGTTTTGTTTTGTTTTGTTTTGCCAACTTGGCATAAGCTAGAGTTATTTGGAAAGAAGACTCTCAATTGAGAAAATACCTCAGTCAGATTTCCTATAGGCAAGTCTATAGGGCATTTTCTTCATTAATAATGGATTTGGGTGAGCCCAGCCTACACTCCCCTGGGCCCCGTCACCCTGGGCAGGTGGTCCTGAACTGGATAAGAAAGCAGGCTGAGTAAGCCAATACGCCGTAAGGAGCAGGGCCTCTGCATCAGTCTCGGCCTGACTTTCCCGGATGAGGAAATAAACCCTTTCCTCCCTAAGCTGCTTTTAGTCGTAGTGTTTCATCACAGCAACAGAAACCCCACCTGAGATACTGTTTTTGCTTTCAGTGGTACTTAATTGTTGCTTGGATGCTAGGGGCGGATACCTGAGGAAACTCCTGGAAGGCACCCATTGTTTCTTGATTTCTTTCAGAAGAACCACCAATCACAATCAAGGGCCTGATATAAGAATAAAAAAAACATTATTACAAATGAGAATATATAAAACATTCAACAGTGTCCAATGTACAACAAACAGTAGTTGTGGGTGATTCGAGAGAGAACAGACACACAGAGAAAACCACATCTTCCTTGAAAAACCGGACATTAAAAAAAATGTAAGAGCCAATCTGATGTGAGAAATACTGTCCCCAAATTCACAAATATGGATAATGGAAAGCAGCGGTTCTCAACCTGTGCCTTGTGACCCCTTTGGCAAACCTTTATCTTCAAAAATATTTACATTACAATTCATAACAGTAGCAAAATTACAGTTATGAAGTAGCAATAAAATGATTGTTATGCTTGGGGTGTCCACAACACGAGGAACTGTATTACGGAGCTGAAGGGTTATGAAGGTTGAAAAATACTGATGTAGATAGCAAATGCTTTTTCTTACAGCGCTCCACCGTCCCAGATGCTTACTCTTCCAAGTGTAATGACACAAAATGAATTTTATGCCTGTAGTATTTATTTCCGAGATGGAGAGAAGATGTTTTATATTTCCTAAGGAAATCTAAGGAAATGGCAAAATGAGTGGTAGTTCTCAATTTTATTTCTCAAAGAAATACTCATTTGAAGGCCAGGTGAGATGGCTTGTGGGTAAGTGCACTTGTTATCAATCCTGCTGGGGTGAGTTTGGCCCGGAAGGAAAGAACCTCTGGATTGTCCTGTTACCTCAACATGCCAGGTCACTTGCGTGCACACATGCACACAAAATATTAAAAAAAAAAAAAAAAAAGGAAAAAGAAAGGAAGGAAGGAGGGAGGGAAGGAAGAAATAAAGAAAGAAACTGTGAAAAGGATGGAAACATTCTTCATATTAAAAAAAGATTACATATGTTCTGAGTTGGTTAGAACAAAATCCCCTTCACCCTGCTATTACTGGTAAAGTAGCTGAGAAAAGGCTAAAGGTAAGAATGAAGAATAAGCATTAAATAGCTTATACTGCAAATTTTAACAAACATAAGAATATAAGTGTTTTACTACCCAGGCAGAGCACGATGAAGAATATACAGTTCTACATACTAAGCTAGGGTGAGAATAAACAACAGCTCTTAGCTACGTGTGGCCTACAAACCTATAATCCTAAATACCCAGGACTGAGGTAGGGGATCACAAAGTTCAAGGCCTGGTTGGGTTCAGGGAGTTCAAAGCCTCCTTAATGATATTCTCATTCTCTCTCTTTGTTTCTCTCTCTCTCTCTCTCTCTCTCACACACACACACACACACACACATACACACACTTTACATGCCTTTAATCCCAGTACTTAGGAGGCAGAGGCAGGCAGAACTCAAGGCCAGCCTGGTCTATAGAACAAGTTCCAGGACAGCCAGGGATACACAGAGAAGCCCCGTCTAGAAAAAAGGAGGAACAGAAAGAGGAAGAGGAAGTATCGGTAGTAGTAGTAAGTAGAAGTAGTACTAGGTAGTAGTACTAAGTAGAAATAGCAGTAAGTAGGAATAAGTAGCAGAATTATTCTAGACCAGCCTGGCCTATACAGCATGGTGAGGCCCCTGGTTCAATAATTAACAAATGTAAAAAGTACTTCATTTAAAACTACATGCATGCTCACATATACAAACACAGACACAGACTGAAACCGAAATGTTAACTGTTTCTCTCTTAGTAAAGGAGTTAATATTGTTTTTTCTTCTTGGCATTGAATGTATTTAGAGGATACTTTTGATGTCAAGCAAATTAACACTCATCATATTACAGTTACTTTTTTATGTTCCGTGAAAGTACCCCAAATCTACTCTCCCCGGAAAATTTCTAATATTCAGAACCAAAGTATTGACTATTGTCCTCGTGCTGCACATTGCTCAGGTTTGCGCCCTTTGCCCCACCTCCCGACCTCCAGCCCACTTCCCAGTATGAAGTTAAGTACCTTCTACTCTGTTTCTAAGTGTTGCCAAGTGGATTTTTGCTTTCCCCAACTCCTTCCACCCTAGAGCAGTTTTCCTTGGTTAAATTATGCAAAGGTACATTAAGAAATGTTTTTAACAAGGATGGTTTAATTACCAGCAATTCACGTTTGCATTTGCCATGCCACCCAAGGCGTGGATGAGACCCGGGCCAGAAACAGCAAGGCATACTCCTGGCCTAGAAGCAGGGCAGAGATTAGCAGCAGCAGATGAAACTTAAACAGCTGTAAAAGAAGAGGGCCAGGTGCCCGCTACCTCTGGTTGGAACAGACCAACTACCAATTCACATTATGTTAGGGTTTCCATGGAAACTTCTCAGTGGCCAAAGGAAAGACGTGTAGGTCTTTACAATAATTGGTAAACATCAGAAAAATCTTAATTAAAAAAGAGTGACATTAAGTTTCTTTTAAAACATAATGTACACTTTTACTTTCACATCGTATTTCACGAAACTTCCTATTTGGCTCTAATTACAGTTGAGTTAGAACAAGTTAACTGATTACAGAAGTAAATTTTGATGGGCCACATTTATTTTCTAGAAATTTTACAAATTTTCTTAACAAACAAATATAATGTACTATATCTTTGTGAGGAAAAATGATTCTAAATGTCTGGTTTTCCTCCAAATCTTTCTGAATTCTTTCTCTTGACGTAGCTTCCTGAGCCTCAAGCACTCGGTAATAAAGTATCCCTGTAGAGTTTAGCTTGGCACTTTACATTTGTAGCTTAAGAATCTTTCAGACTCAAACACAGTTTCCAGCAGAGAGTAAACTCTAGAACAGTCCCACCTCCCAGAATGCTTACAGTAGTCGTCATATTCCCTGTGGGGTTTGACATGACATGGACCCCACACACAGTCACTGAATACTTAACAATGTGGCCACTACAAATGAGAAGCCCTAGTGAGAATGTTACTTGTTTTGAATTAAATGTAAATAGCTACCCATTCCTAATGCTACAATACTAGACAGTACAGCTCTAAGGTTTTCAAAACAAAAACTTCAAAATTAACTTTTAGCTTGTGAAAATAATCATTGTTCCAGAGTCAATTAAAGCATCAATGACTGTAATTTAAATGCTTTCTAGGGTCAACCAAAAGATTAAACCATTGCTTACATGTGACATGCTCAAAGTAACAGAAGTAGTTCAGAGGCCAGTTTAGATGACCTAACTTTCCTCAGGCTCAAATTCAGAAGGTTCCCATTAAAAAGGAAGGATTGTTATAGCCTGCTTTTCTACCTTTCTTAGTATTTAATCACTAACTTCAATTTTAGAAAAAAAAAAAAAAAACTTACTAAAGCTTATATAAGTAGCAAAAAAGTATGGTACAAATTTTATCAGAGGTCTAAACTCTACCTAGAAAATATGTGAATGTAGAAAAAAGAAGAACATATGAAAAAAATTAACAGCTGTGAAATTATAACAATTTCAGTTTTTTTCCTTATATATTTTCTAGGTTTTCTAAAAGGGTTGTAAAAAGCATTACTTTTTAATAAAAATGAGGGGTAATTAGCTAACACAAGTAGACTGAAATATGCTCTAGCACCTTCATTCTGGAACTGAGACTTTTGTATGAAGTGGCCTGGGGAAGTTCTCATTTCTTATTAATCCTGTCTTCTGTAATCTTTTCAAGACAACTAAGCGTTCAGTTGAAACATATATTTCTACCCCAAACTCTCAATTTATTAAAATGAAGCCGGCTTTAGTTTACCTGCCCGTCAGGTATCCAACCGCAGAGGCAGCATAACAAGCCTACAAAGAAAGGACAGCCGGACTCAATGAGAGACATACTGGGTATAAATACAAGAAAGTCCATTATTAAAAGAGAATTTGAGCTGGGCATGGTGGGACACGCCTTTAATTCTAGCACATGGGAGGCAGAGGCATGCAGATCTCTGAGTTTGAGGCCAGCCTGGTTCCAGAAAAGCCAGGTCTAAACAGAGAAACTGTCTCAGACAGACAGAGAGAGAGAGAGAGAGAGAGAGAGAGAGAGAATTTACATAGTAAAGGATTTAATGTACTCATTTTTTATGAGCTGTGATAACCAGAAATTTCAAGGACTGGCTTAAGCATCTAGGTATCTAAATTTTAGTTTTTCAAGAAACTGTCATTACTATCTATGCTATTCATCTTACAACTGCTTAAGTATCTTTCAAATCAGTAGGAATGTCCTCTTTCTTATTGATCATGTATCTCTTTTCACTCCTCTCTGAAGGGCTAGGCTATTCCATTAGAGCCTGGTCTCACTACTCAGGCTGGCCTTCAATGTGTATGTAGCCTGTGATGATTCACACATCAGCCTTTCAAGTCCTGGCCGCTTTGATTTTTGTTTGTTTGTTTTGTTTTTCTCGGTATTGTTTCCTATTTCACTAATTTCTGCTTATGCATTAATTATTTAACTTCTTTCCTTGAGTTTGATTTGCTTTTCCTTTCCTAGTATCTTGAAAAATAAGATTGGTTTTAAATCTTTGCTAACAGATTTACTTCAACTATTTCATCTAAAAAGTATTTTAGCTATATCTTATGAATTATATTTGATAGTCATCATTTCATTATCATTTATTAAAAGTATTTTCTATTTCCCACTGTGATTTCTTCAATCCGTTTGCACATTAGGGTCTGTAATGATATCTGTACTTCCATTCCTCATCTGTGTTTTCTCTCTTATCCCTGATCAGTGTGCCTTGACGTTTTCGGATACTTATATGGACCTGTGAATGCTGCTTCCTCTTAAATGTGACCCTTTAGTTGTCTTCCTGTTACTGAGGTCACTTCCACATGGTCAGGTTACATATGGCTTACTGAGTGTTTTTAATTCCTACCAAGCAATCTGGAGAAACTTTCTTTGTGGCCAACATGGTTTTTGTTTGTTTTGTTTTGAGACAAGCTCTCACTCTGCTGGCCTTGACTGTGGCCCAGGCTGGCCCTGATTGTACCGGAAGCCTCTTAAGCCTCGTGAGCTCTGGGATACACTTGGAGGTCACCATGCCTGGACACTTTTCACTGAGTGTACACTTCATCCAGGTTATAAGGAAGACAGAAGCACTAGGTTAAAGACAGGTGCCCAGCAAAAAACGCTGAGTGCATTTAAAAATTATTCTTTGTCTAAACATGATAGTATTACTTGTCTTATCTTTAAAAATAATAGCAAATTGCATAAAATGTTTGCCAAAATTAGTATACTTATTTATATATATATATATATATATATATATATATATATATATATATATATTGAGAGTAACTGTCCATTTACAGCAATAAAATACAAAACATATACAAAAAGCATGCTTCTCTGGCATATGCCAAAAGTGGAGAAATAACAAATTTTTGTTGTTGTTTAGTTTGGTTTTGTTGCTGCTGTTGTTTTCAGACATAGGGTTTCTCTTTGTAGCTTTGGCTGTCCTAGAACTCACTCAGTAAAGCAGGCTAGCCCTGAACTCAGAGATCCACCTGCCTCTACCTCCAGGGTGCTGTGATTGAAGGCATGCACCAAATGACAAACTTTATTACCATTAAAAACAAAACAAAACAGAAAAGGCCTCTGCTTTCCTATCAAATCACACCCCCTCCCAAAGTATACACAGTTCTCAAGATGCTAAAGTCTGGAGTCAAAGGGCTCTGATTTTGATCCCAGTCCCCTACATTCTACTGTGTGACTTTGACAAATTACTCTGCACACTGACTTCATCATCTATAAAATCACTGTAATTCAGAGCACTGCTATGAGGATGAAATCAGTGATCTCAGACATGTAAAATACTTAGAATACAGTTAACTTCTTGACAATCTGCCTACTTTCTGGCCACATAAGTGTCTTGACTACTCTAGGAGCTGATGAATAATCAAGCAATACCCAAGCATACCTTTCCCTTTAGCACAAACATGCTCTTGAATTCTTCTGATCCATTTCACATACTCCTTTGAACAACCCATCATTAAACCCATCATCTTCCCTCCTAAACTGTTCTCCTCTCTTCAACCTCAGTGAGTAGAATTATCAATCAGTGATACGAGCCCCTAACCTAGAAATTATCTCTACAAGAGCTAGCCTTTTCCTTCCTCATGGGTAATGCCTACTCTTTCTTCATCTTTTGTGGGGATGCTTTCTCAGAAGACTTCTTTGTCTTTTTATTTAAATCTGTTGTTGCTCTACTAAGGAAATCAGAGCACCAGACATTTTGGGCAGTACCACTGAAATATAACCCGAACCCTTAGGGCCTCATCTGACTAGTCTGGCTCCAAACCTGAGATCTTCTGTTTCTCCTGAGTAGATACAGGGATTAGAGTTGTGTGCTGTGGATTTTCCATAACCATCCTCTGGCCTACCTATCCACCCTCACAGCTCGCCATGCCTCTAAGCTATACGGATGCAGCATGACCAGACAGTACCTCTTTGAGCAATCTTTCCTGCCGCAACAAAGAGAACCAGTTACCTCCTCCACACTACTATTCCTTCTATCCATTTCTTTTGTGAGGACCATTATTCTAGACTGTCTCTTTGTGTCTTAGCCCCACTTTCCCCGACTAATCAACTTGGAGTTTAACTGGAAACCTCATTTCTTCTTCAAGTCCCTCTCTTACACAACACAGGGCAAGCATATAGAACATACTCAGCATGTGTGTAATGCATGAAAAGGAAAGGGGAGGCAGACATACTGCCTCTAGAAAAGTAGTAAAATGCAGATCAACACTTATACTTTCTCATGCAGGTCAAACTGAAAGGTAGGTATACAGCTCAGCGGCAGAGCTCTTGCTTAATACGCACAAGGTCCTGGGTTCAATTCCCAGCTCTGAAAAAAAGAGGGGTAGAGAGGGGGATAAAAGTGTAAGGCTCACAAATCCAAGTTTTCATATTAAAAACACTCCCTCTACTCTTCAAACCTTGTCGGTAAGTGTCTTTCAGTTAGTAAACAATATAGTGAACGGCTATATCACGCAAAGACCTCGATCAAGTCAGCACTGGGAGGCACAAGAACAAATGAAATGCAACTGCACTGGAACTTGCAGCTGATGGAGAGAAAAGGTGGCAAGAGGGCACAAGAGCAGAGATCAAGGGCAGCCGTGGAGTGAAAACAGGACTCTGCCTCAGGTGGGCGGACACTATTACAAAATAGACTCTTGTTCTTGCCTAGGTATGAGTGCTTACAAATGTGGGGGGGGGGGGCGCACGTGTGCATGCGTGCGCCATCATGTGTGTGCCCAGGGAGGCCAGAAGAAGCCATTAGATCCTCTGGAGCTGGATCTAAGGTTGTGAGCCACCATGTAGGTTGTCAGAAACAAAATCACGGTCCCTAAAAAAGCAACAAGTGCTGTTAACTGCTGAGCTATTTCTCCAGGGCCAATTCTTGATTCTTTAAATACTTGTGTGTGTGTGTGTGTCCAGGGCAGAGGACAACATACGTCAGTCTATCTCCTTCATTCTTCCACGTGCGTCCAGGAGATTACACTCAGTTATCAGGCTTTGTAGCACCAGATTCATGATATTTCTGCGGGTATTGCTGAGAGAGGAAACACTACAAGTGGGTGTATAAAATGTCTGTTTTGCTTTTCCTACTTCCAGATAGGTCCCTGAAAGGGTTGGGGCATAACGCGGAGGGAAAGCACTGGACTGGGATTTGAGAGTCCTGAGTTCCAAGGATGGCATTACCATCGCTAATATCTTTCACCTTATGTAGCGTGAGTCCTGGCCTTCAGGCGTTTCTCCCACATCTCTCTGAGCTCTAGAACTCTCAGCCTTCCGGTCCTAACATGTGGACGCGGTAGAGCACACTACAGTAGAAGGCAGTGAGCACAGATCCTGAACTCAGAATGTCTGAGTTCAAAAGTCACCACCCATGACTCACGTGGGGGCACGTCTGATTTACTCTTTCTGCACCTCACTTTCTTGTGAAGTAGGATCAACAGCGGTGCGTGCAACGCTTGAGGAGTGATGGGCCGCCGTGCGCAGCGTATAGTTGCCATTCGGGTACCTGTGTCCACACTCACCGCTTGCTCGTTCCTCATCCCGATGTACTTGATGCCCAGTTCCTGGGCAGCAAGGGCGATTTCGGTCACGGGGATGCCTATGACTCCGAAAATGTACTCCACATCCTGGGGGGGAACAGAGGCATAAAAGCGGGTCACCAGGTGGCCCAGCCTTCCAGCCCCCCCCCCCCCAGGAGGTCCAAAGGAAGAACCACAGCACCCGCCCCCAACTCCTGGCCCTCCGTCTCCATGGCAACGCGTGCCCCCTCCCCGCGCCCGCTTCCGTAGAGCCTTTCGCTCCCGAGGGCTCCACCGTACTTGCGTCTTCAGGGCCTGGGCGATGACTTTAGCACCAGACACCTGCTCCCCGCTTCCGTCGCCAGCCTCTGCCGAGTTACTTCCCGACATCTTCCACCCCGAGTTACTTCAAGACTCTCTCACAGCCCCGAGCTCCACCAGCCCACCAAGCCTCCGAGCAGCCGCCCGCAGCCGGCGACTCCCGCTTCTGACTGACAGGAGGGCAGCCAACCGGTTTAAGCGAAGGGGCGAAGAGGCGGGACTAGGAGGCAGTCCCCGCGGAGGCGGCGATGTAGGCACGCCCACTCTCCAGCCGCTCCTTCCCCGACGAGCCCGAGGCCGCCGCCCGGGCCCACAGGTGAGACACCAGCCTCTGAGGCCGCCTGCCGTGCTTCCCTTCTGCGGTGCGGCCTCGGAGCAACCCGGCCCGAGCGCACCTCGAGGCTCGAGGCCGACCCTGCGGGGAGGGGGCGTGGCCCCCGCGCGCGTCTCCGCCCCGGGGCTTTAGCTCATCGGGGGAGGCTGCGCAAAGGCTTCTGGGACGCGGCTATCTTAGAGTCTGCAGTTTCAAAAAAAAAAAAAAAAAAAAAAAAAATGGCCTTTGGGTCGTGTTGTCTTGCTTCTGTGCCCTCTGGTTTCATAACCTTGTGGTTTTTGCACGCTACAGCATGTGCACCTTACGTAAGTCTGCGAGCAGAGGTGTTTTCTTTATCATAGATGATACCGTGCGTGCTCGTACCAAGAAAATGCTCTGGGCAGAGCATTTTTAACGTCACAGCTGTCCTGTTGTTTGCTATATTTTGATGTTATTCCAGTTGGGTATCACAAAGGTCTGTTAGAGCCATAAGCTAATAATTAATGTGTGATTGCTTAACTTTTACCAAAGTAATAGTGTTGGTTGTTTTCGACTTACAGGCTCAAGGGTAGCCATGTTTAATTCTGACAGTGTCCGCTGTATAGTCAGTTCATGGCTGCTTTCATCTATTCCTTTCTCAAAACAATCACCGGAAGAACTCTATGAAGTGCAAACCAAACTCTGATTGGAACAAATCACTGTAATTCAGATTAAGTGAGTTTTGTTTTTTTAAAGGATCAGCCTTTAACTCGGCAGTTTTGACCTTTAGCCGAGAGAAAAATCGCTGAACTGGTTCTTGCCTTCACCTTGCAGTTCAAGGTTCAGCATCACGTGCTTCCTTTGCCTGCAGTCATTCATTGGAAGTGGTGCAGGTGCTTCCTCCCAGGCCAAGAGTCATTTCTGCGCCATCCAGCTGCAATGGAAGGATCCCAGGAGCTGTGATTTATACAAAGTCCTCTGTGGAGTTTGAACATGTTAATCATGTTCTCTGTTATTTTCATTGGCATTGTGCTTGGAATTTTATTTGTTGGTGGTATTTTGTTGTTGAAGTTTGGCATTGCAGAGCCAGATATGGTGGTTTACACCTTTAATCCCAGTACTTGGGAGGCAGAGGAACATGGATCTCTGTGAGTTTGAGGCCGGCCTGGAATCTTCGTGAGTTTCAGGACAGATAGGCTATGTAGAGAGAACATGTCTCAAAAAAGGAAGGAAGAACGAAAGAAGGAAATAGAAAAAGGCTTTGACATTTATTACTCAAAGGAAAAAGAAATCTTTTTTTTTAAGTACTAGTAACTGAACCTAGGACCTGTGCATATCAGTCAAGTACTGTCCCACTGAACTGTATCTCCAGCCCTAAATTTTACCTTTCTTAAACAACGGAAGCCTAGGGGGTTAGAAAGATGGCTCAGTGGTTAAGAGTGGTAGCTGCTCTTCCAGAGGACCTGAGTTCCATTTCCAGCACCCACATGGTGTCTTACAACCATCTGTAATTCTATTCCAAGGAAAGTGGCCTCTTCTGGCCTCTGGGGGTACCAGGCACACACATAGCACACAGACGTACATGCAGGCTAAACAGCCATGCACATGAAGTAAAATAATGATAAAAAGTAAAGAAAGGCAGTATTGGTAGCATGCTTTCCAAAGAGCAAATCCAGTCTTCAGAGTCCACGGAGTGGCTGTTTAGAGATCTAGGTTTGAGATTATGAGGGGTGGCTTGACAACTTTCTTCAAGTGGGTGAAGATAACATCTAGGTAACCGGGTGATTTGGTAAGAGTTGTACTCAGGTGTGGTGGCGCTTGCCCATAATACCTGTATTCAAGAGTCCGAGGCAGGAGGATCACAAGTTTAAGTCCAGGGTGGGCCACAGAGAGAGACACTGTCTCAACAAGTTGCAGTATTAGACTTAGAGAAGATTAACTTTCAAAAGAAGGCAGCTTCTAAAGGCGTGGCTGCATAGACCCCCAAACTGTGGTTTTTATCTCAGTCATTCGTACTTAGGTACCCTTGTGCTCATTTTTGAGCACCGTCCTGGCTGTGAAAAAATAGTCCATGCTTTACCAAAATGTGTGCTTGGTTATGAAATAACCAACAAATCAGAGCTATGTGTTAGTCTACATTTTGCTGTGACAAATACCGTACTAAAAGCATGTCAGGGGAGGAAAAAGTTTATTTTTTCTTATACTTCCAAGTCACAGACCATCCTTGAGGGATGTTTGTCAGGGTAGGAGCCGTAGGGAACCGATTTGTTGGCTCGCTCTCTGGCTTTCTTCCAGACTCGTGCTTAACTAGCTTTCTCTTACAGCCCAGGACCATCAGCCTCATGGGCTAGGCCCCTCCTCCACTGATTAATATTTGTCTTGATTCATCCCTCACAGAGGTGCCTACAGACCAACATGGTTAAGGACAGTTACTTTATGGAGACTCATTCCTCTGGTGACTCTAGGCTGTGTCAGGTTGTAGAATGGCTAAAAAATGAACGTGGCTGACAATAAGAGAAAATGAAAACTGAGTGCATATCTTCTTCTTTTCTGAGATGGGGACTAAACCCTCCATCTTGTGCATGCTAGGCGCTACTATACCACTAAGCCCTGCTCTGAGTTTTTTATATTAAGAGAGGGTTTTACTAAGTTGTCCAGATAGGCCTTGAACTTTTGATCTTCCTGGCTCAACCTTTTGAGTAGCTGAGATTATAGAGCTATGCCACCTGCAAACAAAAAACCAGAAACAAAAATTAAAAGAAAATCTATATAAAGCAGTATTTTTTTTTTTTTCAAAATAGGGTTTCTCAGTGTAGCCCTAGCTGTCCTGGAACTCACTCAGTAGTCCAGGCTGGCCCAGAGCTCACAGAGATTCGCTTGCCTCTGCCTCCTAAGTGCTAGTATTAAAAGCATGTGCTACCGCTACCTGGCTACAAAGCACCAATTTTAAAAACACCACTTAAGCTATACTGCAGGAAATGTGCTATAGGAAACACGTCATTAGAGACAGAAAAGGTGAAAAATAATGTAATAAAATGATTGGTTGAGTGAAACAGGTTTAAGTTGATTTTGTTTGCTTCTCATTAAATTTATGAACTGCATAGTAGCAAAGCTTAGGGATACAGTCAAAGGAGGAAAAAACAATGGGCAACAGCTTTATAATCTGGAGCTATCAGGGACATCTTAGTAATAACTCAATACTCAAAGCTCCCAGTGCCTGTCTGTTGAAAGGCTCTGAGCACTTTTCCCCGTACCCTCTGACCTAGAGAAAGCTGGATTCCTGCCCACAGCCTGAACTTTGCTTAGCAGTTTAATGCACCCACGAACTAGCACTGAAGCAGGGAGCAGTATGGGAAGAAAACAGAAAGGATGTGATTTTCCTGCGTTATCTGTTTTTTTTTTTTTTTCTTTTTAAAGTAAAGTTGAGAGAGTTTAACATTAGCAATAACTACCACAGTGATTTTCTTTGCTGTATATAACAGAGTGACACCTCCATGTGTGGTATGAGGACATAATAGCTTAGCAACATAGTGTTTCTCCGTGGAATAAAACTGCAAGGTTCCCAGGGTGTGGCATTGAACTGGGGACTTTTATCATGAAAGACTTAAGCCCATAAACTTGTTTCTTCATCGTGATCTCTGAGTTCCATGCGCGCGTGTCCCTGCCTGACTGTATCTCCCTTCCCATCCCATAGCGGGAGCCATTACTTTGACTTTAATGTGTATAGTACCTTCATTACCCACTCTTTAAGGGGTCTCAATCCACTTTCTGTTGTAAGAGAACACATGATTCTAGGTATTATTGATTTACTCTTTGGTGCTGGGGAGGCCATCGCCCTACCTCTGAACTGCAGCCCTGTTCTTTCCCCCAGCTTTTTATTGTGAAACAGGGTCTGTGAACTGCCCAGCCTGACCTTGAACTGGTGATCCTTTGGCTTTAATGTCCCAACCAGCTGGGGATTATGGAGTCTGCTTTACCAACCCAGCCAATGCTAAGTAATTTATAAAGATGCTTATTTTTGCTCACTGTTGTAGCAGCTCAGAAGTCTAAGAGCCTGTTGCTAGCATCTGTTTTTGGTGAGGACATCAGAGCAGAAAGACAAGAGAGAGAAACAGAAGGCCAAGCTAGAAATGGCTAGCTGATCCCTAAACCGAAAGCATTCATGAGGATGGATGACTTGGACGCCTCCCATTAGAGCCACCTTTCAGCATGGCTGTATTGAGGGTTCTAAGGCATGATTTAGGGGAACACTTTAAAACAGTCGCAGACATTTAGGTTACTTACCTTTTCAGGGTATGGATACTGTACTCTGAACATTTTTGTATGTTTCACACCCGTGTGAGAGTTTCTATGTCAAGTTATTCTCCAAAGTCAAAAGACCTTCCGTTCACATCAATGCCCTCTTCTCTGTCAATTGGAAACTTAGTGCTTTTGTTTGTTTTTGTTTTTGTCATTCTAGCCAGGCATGGTAGTGCACACCTGTAGTTCTAACACTGGGAGATAGAGCAGAAGGATAAGGAGTTCAAGGTCATCCTCAGCTACCTACTGAGTTCAATGCTAGCCTGAGCTACAAGGTATCCTGTCTGAACATAGGTAGATAGGTAGGTAGGTAGGTATAGGTAGATAGATAGATAGATAGATAGATAGATAGATAGATAGATAGATAGAGATAGATAGATAATACCAGGGAGCAAGGAAGGCTAGTAAGGGAGAATATGGTTGAAATGCATTATGTATGTATGTAAAATCTCATAATAAACCCATTGTTACATATAATTAGCACACACTAACAAAACGTTAAAATAAAATTATAATTCTCTTTGCCAGTTTGACGGATTTGAAGTGACTTCTCGTTTCCAAACATACTCTGACTATGAATGAAGCAGAGTCATGAGGGCTCTTCACCTGTCAGTTAACGGCTCATATATTTTGCCCATTTTTCTTTTTTACAGGATTGC